TTAGATTTTACACAATTCATTTAATCGTTCAGTTGGCTCCTCCATCTTCTAGCGCCCTGCCCAATCTCTCCTCTTCCCATGAATCGTCTGATTTTCTCTGCCTTCCATTCTGCTACAGGTATTGTGAGGGCTCCGTACTCTATCTGCCGTCCTCTAGCTCTGGGGTTAGTCCACGCTTTTGCTAATATTTATTATCATATTCTGTAGAAATAAGTCAGTGGATGTGGCTACGGCATGTTTATTTTGTCCAGCGCGTTGCATAAAGATATACACTCGAACCGGCGACTCTGGTAAATCTTCCCTTTTCAACGGAGAGCGTCGTGCAAAGACCGATGACGTCTTTCACGCACTGGGGTCTGTTGATGAACTCTCATCTGCTATCGGTGTGGCCGTGGCAAATTTAGAGGGCATAAATACTGTGAACAATAAATATGACGTCACACTTCTAAAAGAGAGACTTGATAGAATCCAGTGTTTGCTACAGGATGTGGGCTCTTGCGTCGCAACTCCAATTGAGCCCAGGTCTAGCGAGACAGGAGAAATTAGACCAAAACGATACTCTCGAATCCAATTCCATGAAAGTTCTATTAGTGATTTAGAAATGTGGATCGATGAAATGACTAGTGTATTACCTCCATTGCGTCAGTTCATCCTTCCCTCTGGCGGTCTGGCAGCAGCCAACCTCCACCTCTGTCGGAGTGTGTGCAGAAGAGCGGAGCGAACTGTGGTAATACTGAATAGCGATGCCGAAACCCCTAGTCTGGAACCCGAGGTGATAAAGTTCCTAAACAGACTTAGTGACTTCTTATTTACTGCTGCACGTTATTCTTGCTTTGCTGCTGGCTGTCAAGAAAAGAAATACATGCCACCGAGATAGACCTATGACAATTTTCTAATTATTTAAAAATTTCAATAGACGCATTCTTTACATTAAAGTTTTATGTAACTAAATCTGTCTTCTGATTTTCAGTTCTTTTCGTGCCTACTCCGGCGATCGTTATGGCTCGGGCAAAGGCAAAGTAAGCATTATTTCTTTCGCGTAATTGAGTCAGTAGAAACTTATGCTTTTTCTATAGGGTGGCGGGTCAGGAGGGGCTGTACGTGATGCAGGCGGATCCTTAGGAGAACGGGAAGCTGCCAATGAGGAGGTTTATTTCAAAAAAATGGTGATTGTTTATCTTACGAGTTTAATTGTTCCTTGAGTAACTCGCATGTTTCCCTTCATGGCTCTTGCGACTCATTTGATTTTATCTAAATGCTCACTTTTCTTACTTGCAGCAAGCAAAGCAAATCGAAGAACTTAAAAAGCACATTGGCTCTGAGGTAGCACATCATGAATCCGAAATTAAACGCCATAAAGTATGTTTAATATACAAGCT